TATCACAAGAAATGCTTTTTCATTCAACTGAAGTGGTAATATCACAAAGAAATGCTTTTTCATTCAACTGGAGTGGTAATATCACAAAGAAATGCTTTTTCACTCAACTGGAATGGCAGTCATGCTCACTTTTCTCTATCATTGCTCTCATTTTGTCGCTTTCCAATTTGTTTCGAAACAAAAATCACGTGGATAAACAAATATAAAACACAAACGGATTTAAATATTTCGCCTTTTGACCAATTTAAAAAAAAAAGGAAATTGGTCACTTCTTATAAATTAAGCGTTGTTGTGAATTTGACAAAATTCATTGCAAAAAACTATTTTGAAATTATGCCATATTTGCATGAAGTAAAAACTGTTCAGTTTAAGAAAGGAATGAAATCAACCTGAAATTAGTGCATGTATTTTCTGTGCATCAAATAATCAAGCAGGGAAATTAGCTAAAGACTTTTCGACGGAGTGCAAAAACTTGCATGGAAGTTTGTTAGGAAGGACAGAATAAAAGTTCTCTTATAACATCTATTTATACGTCCTCCAATGGCTCAATCATAACTTTTGTCATCCGTATTATTGAATGGACCATAAGAAGTTATTTATATTTGCATTGAATCTCGTTGAGTTTTTCTCGTAACTTTTCAAATGTTACAAAAAAAAAAAAAATAAAAAAAAAAAATGTTACAAAATGAAAATTAAAAACAATCACACTTCAGTAAAACATGTTGACAAAATTAGATTTCAATTTTATTCAACAACAAATATCAGAGTGTGCATAATATTCTCGTTCGTAAACCAATATAGCTGATAAATTGGCCATGATTCTTCGGCATAGCACTTCTAGGAACGTTAACCACAACAGATCTAAACAACATTAACTGCAACAGAAGGATTATTAGGCAGCGGAAAGAAAAGTAGCGCTAATAGTGTATTTAAAAGAATATATGATGGTAGGCTCAATTCTATGATAGCATTAAATCACTGATGTACCGATTAAATGCCAATGACGGGAGGTGTAGTGTGATTCCATGATGGGCTTTCAATGGCAAGATCTTCCTCGTATCCTTGCTGTACGGGATTTTGATTTTGATTACCGTGAACGTAATCATAACTTTCACCAACCAAGTTGTAGTTGAGAAAGACCTTCAAATTATTGAATAAACGATTGTTACTGAAACTGAATAAATTCATCCCTCTTTTACTGTCTTTCATTGCAATCATCATGACAATATGAATTCATAAAAATTACCCAAGGTGGTCTTTCAGACGTTGCTAACAATATGTTATAAATACCAATGAGTAATGGTAATATGTATCGTGCACTCTTCATTGTTACGGAATATTGTACCTTAATGAAAGAAGACAAGTGAAGAATTCGAATACATTTTAGCGTGTAGAATTCAAGACTAACAGAAATTCAAATTGTCCCTTTCCTGAATTTGAGAAACATGATTGATAATCGAAAATTTTCAAGAAATCATAACAAATCACTAATTTCAGCATCACACCTTTTGCTTTGCAAAAGTAGAAATGAAAACTGAATAAATTTGTGGGAAGCAAAGCAAACATACAGCAAATTTCTGTAAATGTACAATGAATTCGTTTTTAATCTGAGTAATCTTTGCTCCGTACAACTATATGCCATGACTCAAAAAATAGTTCTTTTTCC